GCGGCCCACCCTGGGTTCAATTCCCAGCATCTCAGATGGTCCCCCGAGCATGACCAGGAGTAATTCCTGAGTGCATGAACCAGGAGTAACTCCTGTGCATCGCTGGGTGTGACCCCCCCACAAAAAAAGCAAAAAAAATTTTTTAAAAAAAGAATGAGAAATGTTATTTAATTTTTATATGTCAAAATGCTAGCATACCCACTGATAGCAGTATCATTGTTAGGGAACGTGTGCTAAATGTGTTGAGATCATCTGGAGAGGGCCAGAGAGATTGTGTAGAGGGTTAGGGCTCTGGCCTTGCATGCGCACATTGATCCCTGGTATCACACGTTTCTCCAAGGACCGCCAGGAATGAGCACCGCCAGCTCTGGCCAAACACCAAACCAAACCAAACCAAAAGCGCAATAAAAAACTAAAACCAAAACAAAACCTCCAAGCCAGCTAAAGAAACAGAATGCATACTTTTCAGTATTATGCAGTCATCAAGATTGTGAAATAACTCATATTCGTACGAACCATGGGAAGCAATAAATAATTTTTTGTCACTCTATTTTCACATGCAACATTTAATTAAGTGACTAGACCTTAATCTTATTGCTATGACCAGAGAGAAATATAGGTGAAATCAACTTTCTGGGATTGTTGTGCTTCAGAAGGACTTTATGTCAAATTGAATTTGGGGATGTGTTTCCCTATTTTCCTGTTCTCAGATGGAGTCCCCAAACTCACGAAGGTGTTCAGTAATCTCCCAGCATGTATGTAATAAACCACATTTATGGAGTAAGCTAAGGGGCATGTGTCCTAATGTTTCCTGTGCCCTGTTTATATGTTCTACTAAAGTAAATGGTTGATCATGGCTTTCACATCCTAAATATTGAAAAAGTGGAGATTTAAGATATTTTGATATTAAGTATCACCATTTTTAAAAAAACGTTTTGGGGCCACACCCTGTGGTGGTCCGGGCTGACTTCTGGCTGGCTTCGCACCCAGACATCACCCCTGGCAGTGTCCGGGGGGATGTGGAAAGATAGGGATTGAAATTGGGTTGGGTGCGTACTGCCCGACCCCCCCCCCCCCATTTATTTTTCTAAATGAAGCAGAAATACTGTGAATGGAGGAAACTGCACAGCCCTCCAAAACTCGCCAGAACTGAGGTGGATCAGGAAGGACAATGAGGAAATAAAAGCTTAACAGTAAGTTTACGAAACAGGGAAGCTTACACTCATTTTCTATGTTTGGTTAAAGTTGTCATACCATTCCATTAAAATATCATTTTAAATACGCGATTCAGAGAATGATATAGGCCTGATTAGTCTAGCTAATATTTATGGAGAATTGACTCGTAAGACACTTTATTAGTACTCCAGACACTATGCATGGCCGGGTTTGTACTGTACTTGCCTTACAAGTGTGAGGCCTTGAGTTTAATACACACACACACACACACACACACATGACCACTCGACTTATATATTATGTACAAATGATATCACAGCAACTATGAAACTGTTATGATTCGTCTCCATTTTACAGATGAAGAAACTGAGGCATGCAGAGGCTGAGAGACGCCAGTTTGCCAGCTGACACGGGCACAGGGACTGTGTGTCTGCCCACGTGTTTCTAGAATACTGGGCTTACGACCCGAGCTGGTGTCACTTCTTATAAATCCCTCCTGCCATCCTCACTGCCATCCTGATTTCAGAAACAACAAATCAAGGCTCAGAGATGTGAGGAGGATTTCCCGAGGTTCCGGAATGACAAATGCTAATTGAATCTCTTGGAAGGGTACGAAGACCCAGGACGCGCCTGTCCTTCTCAGAAGGCTAGCTGCCATCAAGGAAGATCATCTTGCAGCTCCTAAGGCTTTAAATGTCCCTCCTTTAATTGAGTTTCACGATAGAAATGAATTATTTGACATCCTGGAGCATCTTCGGTGCTAATGTTAATAGCTGTAGTGACACAATTCTGTCTTAAATTTTATTAATTGGCAAAAAAAGAAGATATGGAGTCGTATGCATATTTTCTTGAGAGAAAATCATGGAAGGGAAAGTTAACTGAAGTGGATTGGCTGGGGCTTGGGGCCCACACCAGGGCTCACTCCAGGCTCTGTGCTCAGGGGTTGCTGCGAGCCAGCTCAGGGGACCACATGAGGTGTTAGGACCAGGTTCAAATCGATGCGGGTGAGGCAGATGCCCTACCCTCTCTACTCTCTGGTCCCTGAACAGAACTCTGAAGTGATAAGCTTATTTATTTTGATCATCAAATTTAAATGGAAATTAAAATGGCCCAGAATGTCTAGAACTATCCCCAGACTAGCTTTGGTTCTTCTCACAGCCTTGTTTTCATGACAAAGATACGCTGGAGTTGGGGGTGAGGGGCGGGGAGCCCAATAATGAGATGACAATCACTGAGCTAAGTTCTGAGGTGACAAATACTGTTTTCTAAAGCTGAATCAATAGCTTTCCGTTATGGTTGGGATCTAGAAATTGGGCCAAACGTAAGGGACGTCCAGGTGATGGGGCCTCGTGTGGCCGGCAGGGCTGAGAGGTGAGAAGCCAGTTCTGCTCCTTGAATGGGGGGCGGGGTCAGAAACCGAGGTGTGACTGGGGGGGGGCAGTCCTGGGATGTGGAAACAGGGGTTAGACTAGTGCAGCAAGAGACTTTGGGATGCAAGAATTCAGACTGGCAGGAAGCGCTTAGGAGTTAAGCTGGGGGGCTGGGGTTGAGCTATGAAAACAAAGGGGCAAACAGACGATAGAAACGCTCATGTGGGATTAGAGCACCCTCCAGTTACATGACAGGACACACATATAACATATGAACATATGTATGTTATATGCATAGCAACTACAAATAGATAGAGTAGTTTGACATATATGAACTACATACTGGGCTGGAGCAATAGCACAGAGGTAGGGCGTTTGCCTTGCGCGCGGCCAGCCCAGCCGAGCCAGGTTCGATTCCTCCGCCCCTCTTGGAGAGCCGGGCAAGTTACTGAGAGTATCTCACCCACACGGCAAAGCCTGGCAAGCTACCCGTGACGTATTCGGTATGCCAAACACAGTAACAATGGAGACGTTACCGGGCCTGCTCGAGCAAAATCGATGAACAACAGGAGGACAGTGTTTGTTTTGTGTGTTTGTACTATATATGTTAACTTTGGGGGAAAGCGCGGATTTGGGGCCACGCCCTGCAGTGCTCAGGTGTTCTCCCTACCCCGACTCAGGGATCACTCCTGGTGGGCTTGGGGGACCATATATGGTGCCGGGGATGGAACCCAGGTGGGCAGTATGCAAGGCCAGTGCCCTCCCCCTGGTGCTCTCACTCCGGCCTCTGGATGTTAACTTAAAGGCACGCACTCAGAGCAACGAACCAAGCAGGACGTCATTGGTGTTGGTCCTTAGGACTCGAAAGTCCCCAGGGTCAGACCATATCCCCGCAGCTCCTCTCACTACCCGGTCATCCCCCAACTGACCGTGAGTGGCCACAGACTGCAGGACATGGAGGCAGTGTCAGCAGGCCGGGAGCAGGGACGGAGACGGGGGCCTGGGAAGGCAAGTGGCTGGGGTACGGGGACACCAGGGACGAGTGGGTCCCCATGTTTGTGCTGGTAGCACCTGCCCCCACTCCCAGCACCACCTGCAGGGCCGCCCCTCACCCCCAAATCTGTGGACAAATTCCCCTTGGACCACCTGTCCGTTTTTGAAAACGGACCTGTACAGGAGGAAATTCTAAGAAACAGAACAGCACCTAAATTGTCGTTTTTAGAAACTCCACGTTGCTGGGGAGACAGGGATTCTAGTTCAGCCCGACAAGCTGGGGTCTCAGTTAACTAAAGAACTGAAACTCTGGAGATTTATTTGGGGGCGGGGCAAGGGGAGGTGTTGGGTGTGTGTGTGGGGGGGCGGGGGCAGACTCAGTGGTGCCCAGGCTCTGTGCTCAGGAGTGACCTCTGGTGGTGCTCAGGGGAACCACATGTAGCGCGGGGCATTCAAACCCCAGCTGAGTGGCGAAGCTGGAAGTATAGGGTCCCACCTCTTGTACCATCTCTCGGGCCCCCAAGCCTCTCGTTTTAAGATTTACTAGTAACAACCACCTAGGAATAATGTCTAAACCGAAACAAAGTGGGAGCAGGCCTAAAAGCAAGCCACAATCAAGGTTGGAGGAACTACTGGCATTCTGCCTGCCCCATACAATAAGCACAGAGAACGCTCTTTCGAGCTAAGCTGTGATCTACTCAGAGCCTCTGCAGTTTTTCTTCCACACTGGCTGACACTCAATAAGACATCAGGCACTCTTGGAAATACAGGGCCAGGGAGAAACAGCTCCAAGAGCTAGTAAGCATGTTCTGTTCTATCTCTGGCATGCGTGGTCCCCTGAGCACTGCCAGGAGCAACCCGGGAGTCCTGAGTGGGGAGTGCCTGAGCACCACTGGGTAGGGACCCCTAATTTTTTTTTAAATGGACCTACTGCGAAAATCTAGAAAAATTGACAGGTGATTCAGATATTGGAGTCTCATATAGGATTTTAAAATAATTTAACTTAGATATTCAGGAAAGAGGAATTTTAGGGGGTGGTGGAGTGATAGTACAGCAAGGTGTTTGCCTTGCATGCAGCCGACCCAGGTTTGATCCCCCAGTATCCCATATGGTCCCCCAAGAATTATTCAGATCCTTTGTGGTTCATAAGTAATCATAAGTTCAGTAGTAATTCCTGAGTGCAGAGTCAGGAGCAACCCCTGAGCATCACTGGGTGTGACTCAAAAAAAAAGCTAAATAAATAAATAAAGATGAATGAGGAATTTTAGGTAAAATATTTCATCAGAACCCTGGAATCTGTTTAAAGAATGGAAAAGTTAGGGTATCTGAAGATTCTGGAGCTGGAAATATTCTAACTAAAACGAAGAAATTACTGACTGGGGTTGTGTCTCAATGGTGGAGCACATGCCTTCTATGTGTAAGGTCCTGGGTTCAATCTCTGTGAAATAAAGAATTATTCAGAGCCTTTGTGGTTCATAAGCATGCAGACTAGGCGGTCACACACTCCTGAGACGTGTGCCTCCCTCAAGACTTGTTATCAGATCAACACTCTACTCATCTGATATAAAAATAAAATAAAATTCAATAGAGGGATTAGATAACAGCCCAGACATCGCAGAATGGGATTTCTATTGGATGGGCCTCAGCAACAAACTGTCTAAGGTCTCTGCAGCTGCAGTCACCCATGGAGAACAGAGGAGAGGCTGACAGAAATAATCCAACATAGAAAACAGAGTTTTCACATGCTGGGGCTGGAGCGATAGCACAGCAGGTAGGGTGTTTGCCTTGCACGCAGCTGTCCCAGGTTTGATTCCCAACATCCCATATGGTACGTGAGCACCGCCAGGAGTAATTCCTGAGTGCAGAGCCAGGAATAACCCCTGTGCATCGCCAGGTGTGACCCTCCCCCCCAAAAAAAGAATTTTCACATCCTGCTGAAAAGTACCAGATTCATATTGTCCCCTACCCCACAGCAGTGGTGGGTCTCCTGAGTTCCAAGCCACACACATAGACATATTTAGTTACTCAAATTAACTAATATATTTTATAGTATTTGATAGTATCCACTAGAGGGAACAGACACATACCCCTCAACCAAGCAACATTCAGACTGATGAGTCCTTCCCAATGGCAATAATCCTAACCAGAAATCAAGGCAGGACTATTTTTCAAATGCTGGGGCTGGAGGTGGGGCAAAAAAGTGACTCTACACCCACAAAAACTATCATCATAAAAACGCAGGGAGACCTGGGAGATGGCACTGGGGCCAAGGGGGTGTGATTTGCAAGTGGAGGGCCCCGGATTGCACCCTGGGATTGCATGGCCCCCTGAGCATTGCCACCTGTGGCCTTGGCGACCTCGGAGAACTGTTGTGTGGGAGAAAGAGGGTGCCCTGGTGGCCCCAGGCAACACTGGGCCACAGGCCAGAGCAGAATGAAACACTCAAGCCCAGCGATGAACTGTACAGCCCAGTTAGCCACAGATCCTGGGGAGGCATGAGCACTTGTTGGGAAGCCCCTCCACAAACGCATGTCAAACAAAGGTGTTTTTCTGCTGGCAAAGGTGGAGCGAGGCGGGTCTGGAGAGACAGTACAGTGGTTCGGGTCTTGCATGACATACGTACATATGGTTGGTTCCTTAAGACTGAAGCCTGAGTGCAGAGCCAGGAGTGGGCCCTGAGTACAGCTGGGTACAGCCCCCAAACTGGAAAACAAAACACAAAAACAAAACAAACTGGTGGAGAGTTTGCGCCTCGCAGGCCAGAACTTGAACAACTATCCGAGGAATCTTTCTCCCCAGAGCAGATGAGCCCAAGCAGAAGAACAAACTGTCCATGGGACATGAGGAGCCCCTGAAAGCAGGGGCCCTGGTTCCAGGGGTCATCTGGGCAAAGTGCAAGTCGCTATCAAGATACCTGAGAGCGGAAGCTAGAATGTGGGTATGTACCGGCACATACGCAGCTGTCAGCTTAACTAGAGCCAAATAAAGTTTAAAGCAAACGGTCCTGGGGGCGTGGGGGTATACGGGTGTAGCACGGGACCTGCGTGTTTGGATTCTCCCCATCCCCAGCGTGGCCCTGGTGGCCCCCAAACACCCGGAGTGGTCACCCTGGTCCCCAGGACAGCTCAGGCTGCCCGTGGCACTCAGAACTGTGGGGGACTGTCCCTGGACCCCGGAACACCACGAGGCGCGGTTCTGAGCCCCAGAACACAGCTGGGATGCGCGGTGACACGGCGGGGAGGGGTGTTGGCCCCCACACCAGCAACGCTGCCCACCACTGCTGACCCAAACGGAGGCTGGGTTCTGGGGGTCAGACAGGGACTGGAGGAAGCGACGAGGCCTAGAGGGCCAGTTGTGCTAGGGGGCGGGAGAGTGGAGAAACTGGGGCCCAGAGGGTGGTCCCTGCTGCGGTGGGGGGCAGGGAGACACCGCGTGACTGTTGGGGTGGAAGGAAGAAAGCAGGGGTCAGAAGTCGAGGCACACCGGGGGTCAGCGGGCACAGAGGTTGGAACTCGGGGCAGCAGGGCGGCTGGGAGGCCCCGCCCCCGAGAGCAGGCCACGCCCAGGCGCCTCGTGGCCACGCCTTTCATCCCGTTCCCTGCCCCATAAGAGCCCGCCTTTCCCCCAGTTCCCGCCCCTCCTGCCAGGCCCCGCCCCTACAGCAGGGCCCCGCCCCCTAGGACCCGCCTCTTCCCCGAGGCCCCGCCCCGTTGGGGGCCGCCCGCCCCGTTCCCCCTTGTCGCCCCGCCCCTCCGCTCCAGGCCCCGCCCATGGAGAGAGCCTCTTCCTCCGTTCGGGGCCCCGCCCCGTTGGGGGTCGCCCCTCCCCATCGCTTATGTCGCCCTGCCCCTCCACCTCAGGCCCCGCCCATGGATCCCGCCCCTCCCCGCCCCTTCCCCAGGCCCCGCCAGGTTGGGGCTGTTCCACTGAATCACCTATGTTGCCCCGCCCCTCCGTTTCAGGCCACGCCCCTTCACTCCAGGCCCCGCCCATAAAGAGCCTGCCCCTCTGTTCGGGCCCCGCCCCACTCCTTCCCCAGGCCCCGCCCCGTTGGGGGCCGCCCCTCCCGATCTCCCATGTCGCCCCGCCCCCCACTCCAGGCCCCGCCCGTGGAGCCCGCTCCTCCATTCGGGCCCCGCCCCGCCCCTTCTCCAGGCCCCGCCAGGTTGGGGCCGTCCCTCGGAATCGCCTATGTTGCTCCGCCCCTCCGCCCCAGGCCCCGCCCCTCTTGGCCCCGCCCACTCACTAGGCCCCGCCCCTCCGCCCCTCCGTCGGGCCCCGCCCCGCCGAGCGCTGGGGACGCCGGGGCCGCGCGGGCGCCAGTGGCCGGGAACGATCGAGGGCGCGAGGCGGCAGCCAGCGGCGCCGGGACCCCGAGATCGGCCGGGGCTTCCCCGACCGCCGCCTCCGCCGCCCCCAGCCCCGCCGCTCCAGCTCGCGGCCCGGGAAGATGGCGCTGCACTTCCAGGTCGGTGCGCGGCGGGGCGCGGGGGCGCGGGAGGCCGGGCGGGGGCGGGGGCGGGGGCGGGGGCGGCGCCCCTTCCCTCTCGCGGCTCTGGGGGTCCCCGGGGCGGGCCGGCGGGGGCGGGCGGGGCGCGCTCGCGCTCGGGACGGCGCGGACGGGGTGGGGGGACCAGAGGGGACCCGCGAGGGCTGGGCGGGGAGCCGGCGCGGGGACGGGTCGCAGGGATGGGGCGTCGGCTGCGTCCACGGTATGTCCTGCACCGCACCGGCATGGACATCCGGCTGGTCACTGCACGGACATTTCTGGAGCCCCCTCCCCCTCCTCGTCGCCCCGGCCCTGCGGGGTCTCCAGCCCTGTGCAAAGTTCTGGGATAAAGGATGACATCATCCGACTCCCCCCCAGCCCTCCCGGGATTCGCAGATAATTGCACAGTGCACGTGAAAACGGATAGAACAGGAGCAATCGCAGGATACAGCCACGGCAGGCAGCCAAGTGCGTGTGCATGCGTGAGTGCGCGAGGGTGTGTGTGTGTGTGTGCGTGCACGCGCGTGTATGTGTGTGTGCATGGGTGCCTGCATGCTGGGAGGCGGACAAGCCGGACTCCCAGGCTTTCTCACACTGGCACTGCTGTGGGCTGCCTTGGTCTTTATAGAGCCCTTGGACTGCCCGGCACCGAAGACACAGTCCCTGCCTCCCCACCCCCCTGCAGAACTTTGCAGTGATGTCTTCTCGCAGGGAGTGTGCAGTCTCCCAAGGCTCTCCAGGGAGCTGGAGGAGTTGGCCGGGTGGAGCTCGCCATGGGCACGTGTTTCCGGGCAAAAGGACAGTGTGAGCCTAGGCCAAGAATTGTGGAAGGACAACTTAAGGGCCCCAAGCTTGGGCTGGACCAGAGGGAAGGGGACAGGGGAGGCTGTGAGGGCAGGGACTGTGGTTTCCTAGTTTGGTGACGTGTGCTCTAGTGTCCCACCCTCTCTGGAGACTCTCTGGTCCCCCAATACCTCAGAACTCATTGCTGCCTTATCCGGCTCCCCAGAAGCTTTCCCAACTGCCCTGACCTCTCCTTGCTGTTTCTAAGAGTCCCCTGGGACACTCTTACCGGAAAGAGTAGCATAGGTACAGAGTCCAGGTGTAAATCTTCACTTGGGGACCACACTGAGCAGAGCTCAGGGATTCCTCCTGGTTGTGCTGGGGACCCTGTGCAGTTCTGGGATGATGGATTTGGGGTTCGCCAGGTGCAAGGCAGGCAACCCAACCCCCGGAGGGATGCTCCAGCACCCTGTGTGAATCTTAGGAGTCAGTTTACTCTTTAAGAGTCATTGCAAATGAAAGCAAAACAAAACTCCCCTTCTTGGTAGGAACGCTTGTCACAGCAGTGGTGGACAGCCTAAGTTAGGTTGGTCTGATGAAAGACCCACTGGAGACCAGGCAGACCAGATCTGTGGGCCGAGGGGTGCACACGGCTTTCAGGGGCCCACCATCTCCCTCCTCCTGCCCAACATAGAAAAGGGCTCTCCGGGGCTCCCTGACACGTGCTGCCCGCAGCCTAAGCCTGCCTGCTGGTGGGGCGGGGTGGGTGGACTTTCGAGAGAGCCACGGGCAGTCTGACTGGGAGTCTGAGCTCAGGTTCTCCGTCCCACTGGAGTCAGGGTCTGTGTTATCTGGGCGGAAGTAGGGCAAGAGTGGGGAAGACAAGGAGCTGGGACCAGGTGAGCTGAAGGCTGTTTGGGCAGAAAAGATGAGAAATGGGGAGAAATATCAGGAGCATGGCAGAGGCCCCGGTCGGCCTGTGACTTGCTCTCAGGCTTCCTTTGGTTCCCAAAGCCAGGCCACTCTTTACTGCCCCTCCAGGGCGCCTGGTGTGATCTGGCAGTGGTTGGTGCGTTGGAAGGCGCTGGTGGTGGAGAGAGGGTTTGGGGAGGGATCACCCAGGCCATGTTTGCTGAGTGGGAGGAAGGAGGGAAGCAGGATGAACCCGGGCAGAAGAGGCTGTGCTCGCCTGCCTGTGGCGGGTCCCAGACTGCCTCCTCCCCCCCCCCCCCCCCGTCTTCACAGTGCTCCCCGCGGGAGGATTTTACCCCCTGAAGTTTCAAAAGCGAGACGGAGAATGAGCCGTGCTCAGGGCTGTTCCTCCTGGCTCTGCACGTAGGAAGGACCCAGGGGCGGTAGGTACATGGGGGACTGTACCAGCTACACGGGCCGGCCACGTGAAAGGCAGGCGCCCTGCCCCTGGGCCATCTCTCTAGCCTGGATTCCAGTGCTCTTGCTCTCACTGCCCAGTAAACTCTGAAGAAAACTAAAGCCCTGGGGGTGCAGGGGTCACTGCTTGGAAACACTTCGGAGCTGCTCCGCTGTCCTGGGCCGCCGGGGAGAGGCGTGAGTCTAGGCCTTTACAGAGTACCGGTGGCCCTTCAGGATACATAGCAGGTGTGTCTGGATTTAGCACGGCAGAACTCGGACACTCTGAAGGCCCACCCTCTGTTTGGGCAAAGCCAAACAGTAGAGGCAGGACTAAGGACAGGAGCCAGAGGAACTATCTCAAGATTCAAGGCCCGGACTGTGGCGTGGACCCCGAGACAACGAGAGCAGAGAGCGGGGAATCCGTGGGAAAGATGTGGAATTTCTAGCACTCAGAGATGGTTTTCAGCATCTTTCTGAATTTCCAAGAGGAATTTGTAGATGAAGAGAAAAGGGGTGCAGAGAGGAGGCTGAAAGTAGGGGTGAGGCTGACGGGGCTGGAGTAAAGGCTGCCTGGGTGGCCGGATGGCGAGCGAGAGGGGATGGAGTGCGCTCGGGGCAAACGGATACGGTTCGACATGTTGTTTTCCTGCCTCCACCTCATATGGGGGTTCTGTAAAATGGGTATGCTGGACTTAAGGCTTTGTAGGAGTCAGGGTTTTGGTGACGTGGAAGGCTCTTGAGCAAACCCTGTCTAGTTCACAGTGGAAGGTGGTGTTCCCGGGAGCCCAGGAGAGAGCCTGAGGCACGCAGAGGAGACGAGGAAACGGTGGGAAAGGGAGGAAGAAGAAGGGTTTGTGGGAAACGAAGTGCTTCATGGTGAGGATATATTTCCTTTTCCTATCAACATTTTGCTCCTGGCCTTCATTTGCTCGAGCGGGCCCAGTAACGTCTCCATTGGAGACTTTGTTGTTACTGTGTCTGGCATATCGAATACTCTCGGTAGCTTGCCGGGCTCTCCGAGAGGGGCGGAGGAATCGAACTCGGGTCGGCCATGTTGGCCGCTTGTAAGGCGAACGCCCTACCCGCTGTGCTATCACTCCAGCCTCAGTGATACGAGACGAGACGAGAACAGTGCAGTCTCTGCCCCCGCGCCTGGGTGTTCCTTCCCGGAGTCCCTTGGAGGGGAGCGGGTTGAGCTTTCCTCCCCGCCCCGACCAGGACTACGGCAGCCGAAGACCTCCAGGACCAGCCACCACCATGCTGAGACCACTCTCCGCACACCTGAAGGTACTGGCAGAGGGACAAAGCCACGCGGGTTCCGGGGCCGAGACCTCCAAGCCTACTCGAATTGGAGTCGAGCATCTTCCACCCAGATCCGCGCGACATCTTAACAGAACTTTTTTTTATGACATCTTATTGTCTTATTCCTACTTTGGACAAACCTGCAGGCTATCGAATGTAGCCTGCCCACAGGGCAGAGTCTGGCAAACTCCCCGTGGCGTACCAAATATGCCAAATACCAGTAACAATGATGGGTCTCATTCTCCTAAAGAGCCGTGAATATAATCTCAGGGCTAGGATGAAAGAGACGTTACTGGGGCCTGCTCGAAGCAATCGATGAATAACAGGATGATGAAATGAAAAATGAAATCAACATTGAAATTGGCTGAATTCCAGAAGGCAGGAAGGTAGAGGGAACATTTGCAACGGAGGGGGATTCCTTGGGGTTCATCTGTTTTTGTTGTTTTTAGGGGACCTTTCCCCTAGGATGGAAGCCTCCACTCTGAAGAAGACTTGGAACTTACCTGCAATGGACAAGCTGGAATGGGGTGTGTGTGTGTGTGTGTGTGTGTGTGTGTGTGTGTGTGTGACTCACCTGCAGTAAATGAGCTGGTGTGTGTGTGTGTGTATGTCTGTGTGTGTGTGTGAGAGAGAGAGAGAGAGAGAGCACACAAGTGCACACATGCTCGTAAAACTTCCCAGAACCAAGAAAATGCAAGTTTCCTCATGTCCGCTTACCCCCACCCCCCGCTGGTGCTGCCCAGCCTGAGCAGACACCCCTGTGCTGGGCCCGCCGACTGCCCTCTCGCCCCCAACTTCTGTCCCTTTTACCTTCTGAGACGTGCGGGTGGATGGACGCCGTGTGGGAAGAATCCCAGCAGCTCTTGTCACTGCCGAGACCAGCAAGCTGTCCAGAAACGCTGGGATGCGCTCTCAGACCCGAGGGTTTGCTCCGTCTGGTTCCTTCTGTTGAGGGCCTGGGTCTCCGAGGGGGGCAGCAGGCCTGGGGGAGAGGTGCCCTGGCACTCGACCCTGGGTTGTGGGCAGACCCGGGAGGAATCCGTTGCTCTGGGACGTTTCCTTCGACGTCAGCACCTGCAGAAACGAGAGTGCGTGCGTTTGGGGTCACTGGGGCAGATGGAAAGTCAAGTGCGAGTCAGCAGAGGGCTGGCCGGTCGGCGGTCACCCCCTGTGAGTCTGACTCGTTCAGCTCCGACCTGGATCAGGAAGTAGAAAAAATGACATAAAGGAGCTCAGAAGGAGAGAGAAGTGAGAAGAGTTAAGCTGCCTTTAGTGTTTCTTGACGATTTCAAGAGGATATTTGGTCTCATGCAAAAAAGGCAGCCACAAGTCTGAGAGGACAGACACTCACATTTCGTTAGAAACAGCCCTTCCCTTCAGATACGCTCGCCTGCAACTGAAGTCTGTGCCAATTTTCCTGTCCTCTAAGTAGTGATTATCTAATTCAAGTTCTGACCACGTGAAATTTTCGATACAATGCCCTGCACAAAAACTCTTCCCAGCTGAAATTCTGCACTCACTTTGCAGGATTCCTTTAGATGATGTCCACATGTCCACTCTCTTGAGACGAGATTGTTAGAAATGGAATGATTGTGTGTGTGTGTGTGTGTGTGTGTGTGTGTGTGTGTGTGTGGCGTCAAAATAGGACCCTGCTACATGTTGGGTAGCTGGAGCACTGGGTCAGGCAGAGTTCCTGAGAAGTCTGGCAGCATCCACCCACAGCGGTTAAAAAAAAAAATGGTCAGTTTAGAAGCCCCAAACCAGCACGTATTTATATATTCCAGACTGGTTGTGTTTTTCCTTTTTTTTTTTTTTTTTTAATAGATTGAGCTATTGAAGTCCTAACGCTTCTTGAGACAGCTGTGAGGTAGTGGAGTGGCTTGTTCTGCATCCAGCTCTCTGAGCTCGCCGGCACGTCCTCGCTGACCTGTGCAGAGACGTATCTCACCCAGACCCTGGAAACGCTCTTTCTTGCCTCGCCTGCTGGCTAATCCTTTTCTCTTCCCATTCTCCCTTGGAGATTGGAATGAGCGTCACAACTTCAAGCGAGCCTGGGCTGACCCCCTACCTCTTGTTCATGCTGACTTGTTTTCGCTGTAGTTCAGGGAGCATGGTCGGAATAGTCTTCCTCTTGCTAAACTCTGGCTTCCCATCCTGGACCCATCCCCTTATTCCTGAACCATCGGGAGGCCAGGGAACGCGCGTTGCAGTGACCCAGAGTCCGCCGAGGCCTCGACTGAATCTCTGGAGAACAGTCTCCGGCCCCGCCACCCCGAACGTGCCCGATCTCGTCTGACTCGATGGGGACAGGCTTGGTGTTCGTGTCCCGCGTCCCGTTCATGGATCGGCCTTGTCTGCGTTCATGCCGGTCACACGCACGTCTCTTGCTGCTTCTCCCGCAGAGTCTGACGGAGCTGGAGGCACTGTGCACTCACCTCTACATCGGGACTGATCCGACGCAGAGAGTCGGGGCGGAGAAAGCGCTCCTGGAACTCATCGATAGCCCAGAATGTCTCAGCAAGTGCCAGCTGCTGTTAGAGCAAGGGACAGTAAGTGTCGGGCCGGCGGGCTCGCCGTGGGTGGTCGACGGGTGCTGCTAGCGCACGAGCCCACCCTGGGCCTGGGTGAAAGCCCCGGGTCCTGCCACCGCCCCCTACTGTAGTTCATTTCTTTCTTCTTCTTCTTTTTTTTTTCTTTTTGGGCCACACCCGGCGATGCTCAGGGGTTACTCCTGGCTTTGCACTCAGGCATCACTCCTGGTGGTGCTCAGGGGACCATATGGGATGCTGGGAATCGAACCCGGGTCGGTGGCATGCAAGGCAAACGCCCTCCTCGCTATGCTATCATTCTGGCCCCGTAGTTCACTGCACTGGCAAAGAGATTCCAGGAGAGATGGGAAAAGCCCCAGTAGCCGATGTGGGGAGGGGCCCCCAGTGGGGAACAGGGGCAAATGAAATCCTTTCTGGATTCCTCTCTATGTCTGTGGGTGGGCAGATGTTTCATGTTGGTTTTATAGGGCCACACTCAGTGGTGGGACCTGGGCGGGGGGTCACAGACCTGAAGGTAGGGTCGGGTGGGGGGTGTGCTCAGGCCTTTCAGTACTTGGGGTTACATGTGGCCCTATGTGGTGGCCACGCAGTACCAGGACTCAAGATCAGGACCTCAGTCACGTGTCAACTTGTGCCATTTCCCTGACTCCAAAAATGGTGCATTTTTAGAAAGTTGATTCAGAGCTTTAAAAAAAAAACACAACTCGGGGTTCAGGGTTGTAGCTTGGAGGCGGTGAGTTCAATCCCAGCGCTGCCCCACATTGCTGAGTGAGACCCTGGAGTCACGCTACGTGTGTAGGCACTCAGTGTGGTGCCTACATCGTGATGACAAAAACAGAAGGACATGGAAGTGGAGGGGAACGGTGAGGAGGGAGAGGCAGGTGGCGGTCAGCTCGGAAGCAGAGAGGGACTGCGAGGAGTCCTGGCTGGCTAGGAGATGCACACACAACCTTGCACCCTCAGCCGGGAGACCGGGCTCGGCCCGCCCGCCCTGTCCATTCTCGCATGCGCCTCCCGGCGTCGCTGGGAAGGCAGGGACGGTTAAGCGCCACGGAGATGTTCGCGTAAGGTTGCTTTGAGGGCTCTGGTGGGCACACTTGGAAAACAGCTGCACCATGAGGCAGAATCGGGGCGGTTCTGTAACTACAGTCACAAGAGAGAGGACAAGTCGTGATGAGGTTTTATTGATGGAATTCAAATTCTAAGGTCTGAATACAGTTTTCTGTAATGCAGGTCTGCTAGTGAAGGGATGACATTTTTCTTTGGGGGAATGACATTTTGCTTGATTGGGGTTCACGTTTAGTCTTTCCCGTCATCGACAGTGATTGCGAACGTTCATATGTTAATCCTGATCCGTAATGAGATTTTGCGTGTTTCACCTTTGAAAGCGTCTTCTCACGCAGGTACTGCCAAATATTGATATCATCCACGAGCATCTGATTTTAATTAAGCATATTCATCACTTGGAAGGCAGTTATAGAATTCTGTTAAAACTTCTCTTGGTATTTGCCTTTTAGAATGCCATTACGTAGCTGATTAATCACTCCAGTTGGAGGTTAGGTAGAAGATCGTCAACTGCTCCGTTAAGTGGATTCTGAAATATGGAAAAGTGCTTTGCTCTGGCATTTTGGTTTGAGAAATGCTGCTGGAGTGAATGGTTTTGAACCAGAAAAGATACTCTGGAATAGAGATCTTGCCACTTGCTTCAACTTTTGGTGGTAGCAGAAATGTCGGAAGCAGCTTGGTGCTATCTGCCATCCTGACGATAGTTGTTATTAAAATGCTTTACTGAGGTTTGTATGTAAGTGCAAAGCATTGTTTGCTTTTTAGACAACTTGGTTACTTGAGGTTGAATTCATTTAGGGTTTTTTCTGTTTTGTTTTGATCTCATTTGTAGAAAGCTAATTTCCAGAGCTCCCAAGTGTTCAACAGTGTTTCAGAGTGGCTCTTCACCTATGAAAAAGATTTCAGTCTTGGCCTTGAGCTTTAAAAATTGCACTAACGGGCCAGAAAGATATAGTACAGGGCGTAAGGTACTTGCCTTGCACACAAACGACCTGGTTCCGTATCCAGCACTACCTGTGGGCTCCCAGTACTAAACTCTGTGTGTGTCCGCGTGGGTGATGTGTGTGTGTGGGGGCTGCGGGGCAAGCCAGGATCCTCACATTTCATTCACGTAGAAATTTGCAAGGACCGAAACTCAGTCACCGAGAGAATGAAGTCCCTAGTTGGTGCTGACTCCTCAATGCAGACAGAGGCAAAGGTTCAGTCACAAATCAACGACGCCTTAGCCTAGAGACTTTCACGATCGATCATTTGCAAGTGCATCCAACTAAGACTTTTTATGCTCCGTTTTTTTTTTTTAATTTTTCGGTGGCGTTGGAAGGGGCCCCTTCCCGAGCAGTGCTCAGAGGACCTGGGGCCACTGCTGTGTGGGCCCGAAGCGCGAGGTTTCACCGTGCTGTGAAGTGCGTGTCCTGGTTTGCCAGAGGCTACCTCAGCCACCTCTGAGGTTTCAGGGGACTGGATGGTACCAGCGAGCAAACCTGGGACGGGCCGGCCCACGCTCTAGCCTCGGACCCTCCTCCTGACCTCTGCTGCTGCAGTTTTACCACCAATTGTGACCCATTTTAGCAGATACTACTTATAGGATTCGTTTTCTCGGTTTCTCTGGGAATATCCTGGCGTGTGTGTGTGTGAGTGTGTGTGTGTGGCTCCACCCAACTTTTCATGTGGTGAGTTCTTTAGTCATTTCAGATTCACTGTGGCCTTCTGGAATACACAGTATCAGTGTCCATCTGAGCAGCACTAAATAACGTCTCAGCTCGGGCTAGAGTGATAGCACAGCGGGTAGGGCATTTGCCTTGCATGTAGCCGACCCAGGTTCGATTCCCAACATCCCATATGGTCCCCCGAGCACTGCCAGGAGAAATTCCTGTGTATTGCTGGGTGTGACCCAAAAAGCAAAAATAAATAAATTTTAAAAATTTGAAAAAGTAACAGCTCATCAAAAATGAAGCAGACACTCTCCAAATATCTGCCTGCTCCAAATTATTACTATGAGTATTACTACTACTACTATTATTATTATTATTTATGGGATAGCGCAGTGGGTAGGGCGTTTGCCTTTCACACAGCCAACATGGCCAACGCGAGTTCGATTCCTCCGCCCCTCTCAGAGAGCCCAGCAAGCTACCGAGAGGATCTCGCCCTCACGGCAGAGCCTGGCAAGCTACCTGTGATGTATTCAATATGCCAAACACAGTAACAACAAGTCTCATGATAGAGACGTTACTGGGCCCGCTCGAGCAAATCTATGAACAATGGGAGGACCGTGACTGTGACCGTGATTTATGGGCCACACCCGGTGGTGCTCAGGGCTTACTCCTGGCTCTGTGCTCAGGGGTCACACCTGGTGGGCTCGGGACATCCTATGGGATGCTGGGGATTGATGCTGGGTCAGCCGCATGTGAGGCAAACACCTGACCTGGCTGTGTTATCATCACTCTGGACTCTGGCCACCAAGTTATTTTTTTATATTGCTTTGACACTATCAGCTCTTTGAACACTTTTCGGGACTCTGAAGTTTGTTTGTTTGTTTTTTTTTTTCTTGCCTATACTACTTAGACTCCTGCAAGGAAATAATGGTTAAAGAACTCTCTTGGTTTAAGAAGCTTTCTTAAAAAGAAATTAAAACAATAATCAAATTTCAAAATAGTTATTATAAAATGGGCTGGAGCGATAGCACAGCAGTAGGGCGTTTGCCTTGTGTGCAGCCAGCCCGGCTGAGCCGGGTTTGATTCCTTCATCCCTCTCAGAGAGCCCGGCAAGCTACCGAGAGTATCTCTCGCCTGCACGGCAAAGCCTGGCAAGGTACCTGTGACGTATTCAATATGCCAAACACAGTAACAAGAAGTCTCAAAGAAATGGAGACGTTACTGGGCCCGCTCGAGCAAATCGATAAACAACAGGAGGACAGTATTTGTTTTTGTGTTTTCATTATAAAATATTTTATGATTTTATTTCATCTTTTTTTCCCCTCATGTTGTGGCTAAGAAATGAGGCACTTTGTTGAAATTATGTGTGCAGCCTTATGGGTGTGTGTGTGTGTGTGTGTGTGTGTGTGTGTGTGTAAAAATTCTGCTGTGATGAGATTTTCTGGGTGATGCCTTTGACATACTCTGTTGATTTCCATCCTCTTTGTTGATTTCCTGTCGATGTGAATTGTATTTTTTTTAGCGCCGCTGTGACTCCATGCTACTGAAAGCGCTGGTTACACACTGGAAGGTCTCTTCTCTCCTGTGTTGGCCCGATGTTCTAATGACTGTATGAGCCTCAGATCATGACCCAGAGGTGGTGTTGCTGCCCGGGTGCTAGGGGGTCACTCACTGCCATTTCTGAGCAGACAGTCCGCTGTGCCCTTGGATGTATGGCCGTGAGCCTGTGGCCAGTTCAGCGCTATTAACGGATGCCGCTATTGGAACTTGATATCCTGGGGTTTGTTTTTTGGTTCTTTTCAACCGTTTAGAGCAGTACAAACTATCCATGTGATCTGGGATCGAAGGCAGGTGGTGGTCTGTTTGCTGGCCTGTCATCGTGAGGCAGAGAAAAGGGGGGCTGTGCTCACGGCAAGTGGGCAGAGCGTACGAGGGGATGACCTGGAAGGATCGAGTCTGTGGTGAAGGGAAGCCTGTGGGTGGCCAGAGGCCGGGACTGAAGGCATGGGGAAGGCCTGGAATGGCAATTGCCCTGGCCAGAGGAGTGTCCAGGTGGAGCGGGGTGCGTGGGGTGGTCACGGAGGCAGAACACTCTAGGGCTGTGTAGGGACGGGGCCGTGTTTCATCAGGGCTCGCTGGGGCGGCTTCTTCCCTCTCGCTCTCCTTCCTGTTGCTCGAGGAGACGGCTTCTCCCTCCCTCGCTCCGTGGCCGCGTGTGCGTTTGGCGTGGTCTCACGGCGGGTCTCCTTCTTCTCCCCAGACCTCCTATGCGCAGCTGCTCGCTGCCACCTGCCTCTCAAAGCTTGTCGGTCGACTCAGCCCTTTGCCCGTCGAACAGAGGATCGATATCAGTAAGTGGCTTATTATACTTCAAAAAAAAAAATCAAATTGCACTTGGAAAAAGATTGCTCCCTTTTTGATGGAGAAAGGAACACAAAGTAAATGATGCTTGGAGGGCTCGCTCGGGATGGAAGATGCGAGCTGGAAGTAGACTATGGACCAAACCTGATGGCCGCTTAGTACCTGTATTGCAAACCATAACACCCAAAAGGAGAGAGTAAGAGGGAATGTGCCGGCCACAGAGGCAGCAGGTGGGAAGGGCTTGCGGTAGGGGTACAGATACTGGGAACATTGGTGGTGGAGAATGGGCACTGATGGGTACTTGAACACTGACTGGAACACAATCATGAAAGTTTGTAAGTCTGTAACTGCACCTCACGGTAATTCATTAAAGTAAAAAAAAAATTAAAAAAAAAGAAAAAAACAAAAGATTGCTCCCTTTTAAATATGTTAAACCAAAACAAAAGAGAATTATTTGATTCTGTAGTTGGTGGTGGGTTTTTTTTGGGGGGGGCGGGGTGGAGGGTGTGTGTATCGAGTAAACTTTGGGCCCCACTCAGCAGGATTCAGGGGCTGAGTCCCAGCCTCTTACACTAACACATCCCCGGGGCCACCTGTGTTTCCCCTGAGTGCTGCCGGGCAGAGTGTGACTGCATTCCAAACAAGTGCAGAGTGGCTCATCACCCCACGCCATCAGCTCTGCTGCCGTTTCTGCCTCCACCTCCCGACCGTCCACTTCACTTTGTATCGTCAACCACGGCGTCCTGCCGGCAAGCAGCCGGGTAACTGCTTCCTCCCGTAAGCTCGTCCTGGATGGACCTTCATGCCCTCCCTCTTCAGCAGTACCACTGTGCGCTCTGCCCAGGAGTGTTTTCCTGCTGCCTTGCCGTTTCAGCCGTGGGCCTCTCTCTTGGTTTGCCCAGGCAGTGCTTTTTGTCTAAGATGAACAGGAAAGTGTCGCTTAAGTTGGGCTACCTCCGATAACCTCTTCTGTCCGACTCACAGTTCTGCCAATATAATTCTTCCAGTGATAGCACAGCGATAGGGCGTTTGCCTTGCGTGCAGCCAGCCCGGCTGAGCCGGGTTCGATTCCTCTGCCCCTCTCGGAGAGCCCGGCAAGCTACCGAGAGTATCTCGCCCGCACGGCAGAGCCTGGCAAGCTCCCCGTGGCGTGTTCAATATGCCAAACACAGTAACAACAAGTCTCACGATGGAGACGTTACTGGGCCCGCTTGAGCAAATCGATGAACAACGGGAGGACAGTGTTTGTTTTGTTATGTTATTTGCATACCAAAACTTTCACTTGTTTTGGGTATGAGCTTTTTTTAACCATTTTTACAGAATTGCACCAACTTCCTCACATTTCCATCACTCCCTGCCACTGTCCTGCTATCAGCTCCATCCCTGTTCGCCTTTCGTGGGTAGCTGATAGCATAGCGCCACACCCTGTGTCATTTTTGGCATCGGGCTTCTGAGCGTGACGTTTCTGAGGCTCATCCTCTCTGCGTGTTCATCCTTATTTTGCCCCTTTTTAAATGAGAGAAGAAACGCCCTGGCCTCGATAGGACGTTTGGAAACTGCTTGCCACTTGTTGGACATGTGATGTTTGGGGGCAATTGGTGTGTTTGGTATTTTTGATGGCTCCGAGTGATATTGCTGTGACTTTGTCAGGCACATCCTTAGGTGGGTGTGGTTTCCTGGGAGTGGGACTCCGGTCGTAAGGGAAGACGGCTTTCCTGGGAAGGAGACTCCTACAGCATGTTCCCGACCCATTACTTTTCTTAGCATATTTTATCCTATTTTCATTTGCCGAACTCCAGTTCATGAGAAGCTGCAGTGCATTCGTTACGAGAACTTCCCTTCCCAGGTGTCACAGCAGTCTCACTGGATGTCGTCACAAACGACTGTTCAGCGTGTGTTCGGATTTTTTTTTTTTTGTGTGTGTGTGTGTGCTCGGATTTTCACATTTTTCACTTGTTAAGTTGTGAGGCATTTACCTTTTCTTACTCTTTCCCCAAATGTCATGCTGTCCTTTGAGGCCAAAGCGGAAGTGTAATCCTTTCCCTTTACATTTTTTGTTTCTTACGTTTTTTTTTTTCCTGGTAGATTTTGTGGCATATTTGTCAGCTGACCTCATTTTCTCAGTCTGTAGGGAAGTTGGCGGCTAAGTTTGCTTTGAACCCACTTTTAATGATTCTGGTACATTAACTTCAGTCCCAGCTTTTCTTTGTGATCTGGTTCCTGTTTCCTTTACCGCACATGCTTTGTTATGTGTTTCTGTACACACTTCCGCCACTGAAACAGGGTACAGACCTGCCCCCTGGGACGTGCGATTCTGACAGTGCTGCAGATTGTTAGGCAGCCACACTGCGGCACTTGGGAGAGGAGGAATAATCCAAAACAAGAAATTCAGAGGCTTTGTCGGTGACACGTTAAAAAAGAGACAGGTTTCTAACAGAAGACTGAGTAGAGGTTTGCATGCACCGATTAAATGGCCAAGAGATGCGTACATGGCTTAGTTGATGAGGCATTTTATCCTGAAAAATATCTGAGGTTTGACTGTCGACGTGGGGTCCAGAAGGGCTGCAGCTTGTCCGTTATCATGGAATGGGTGAAGGAGGAGGGTCTGAGACAGTAGAAAGGGCTGCGTCTGGTCGGGGCTGGCGAGGCCACAGAGTTTTGCACGTCCCTTGACATGATGACAGTTTCCTGCATCTGCCTTGCTTGCTTTTCAGCGTGAAGCCTTGCAGAAACACTCGCATTATATTCGGGTGATCTCAGTTGCTCCGGAACGGATTTGTTTTTCAGAAGTCTGGTATGGTCCTGCATCACCACTTCCGGGAGAAAGAGGCTGATGTTCTATCATCAAGCACGCCTGCCTGCCTCCACGCCCCTCTCCTTTACGTGACTCACTCCGTACCACTCGATAGCCCCAGTGATCTCGGACTGTCTTCTTTGCAGGGAACTACATCCTCAACTACCTGGCCTCGCAGCCCAAGCTGGCTCCCTTTGTTATCCAAGCTCTAACTCAAACCATCGCGAAAATCACGAAGCTGGGCTGGTTTGAGGTTCAGAAAGACCAGTTTGTCTTCAGAGAGCTTATTGCTGATGTGAAGAAGTTTCTTCAGGTAAGAAGGAGTTATGAGGAAAATATCGTGGTATTTTTTTTTTTGAAATGTTTGTTCGTTTAGAATGCTGCTTTCCTTAAAGCTGTAATACAGCGGGTAGGGCCCTTGCCTGGCACGTTGACAACCCGGGATTTGATCCCCGGCACCGCGATGGTCCGAGCTCCATCAGGAGGGACACCTGAGCACAGAGCCCTGAATAAGCCCTGCGTGTGGCCCCCCATCCCCAAATAGTGAAAGTCAGTGTCAGACAGAAGTGGCTTCACTTAGCCTACAGTCATCGGGAGGGACGCCTGACTTGACCCAGGGACGTGTAGTTCCTTTGGGGAGGCAGCTGCCACCCCTTCCGTCCCGGGAGAGCCGGCCTTCTCGTCCAGGGCAGTGCAGTTAGAGTGCTGGGCCCAGAAGCCGTGCACAGCTCTGACAGATGGTGAATCTTCTCCGTGTTTCGCAGGATGTGGAGAAGAGGCCACCTGGACTCCACAGCGTAGTTGCTTCCCGGCTGTTTCCGAGGCTTACAAAAATGCCCTTATTTTTGTCTTGGGATGAAAATGGGCTCAGCAGTCCCCATTCCCTGGATGTGGTGGCCACAGCGTGAGCCTGGTGGCCTCAGAGCAAGGATGCTCGGCCACAGGAAACCAGGAGCTCAGCTCACACACTCCAGATGGTCCATGCGAGCCAGAGGAATTAAAATGCAGACTTTCTTCGTGGTCTCTTTGGCTTGTTTTGAGACTATCTGAACTTCATTACATGTACGGATCCGATAGTAGTATTAGTGATAGGCAGGAATGACCAATGGTAAAATCAAGACTTGAAAAGAATGTTTCGGGGCCAGTACTATCACTATAGTACAGTGGGGGAAGGGTTTGCCTTGCACACGGCTGACCTGAGTTTGATCCCCAGCATCCCATATGGTTCACTGTGCACCACGAGGAGTAATTCCTGAGTGCAGAGTCAGGAGTAAGCCCTGAGCATTGCTGGGTGTGACACAGAAAAAAAGAAAAGAAAAGAAAAGAATGTCTCATGTATCCATGCCTTTCTAAAGTGAACACATCATAACTGAATGTGACATTTAGTATATTCATGCTTTTCACGCGATTTGGGAATAGGGTATAATTTGTTAGTAATGTGCTAATAAAATCTGGATTTTTATTCGAAGGGAGTTTTTGAGATTAAATTGGAAGCAGATTAAAGCTTAAGTGTGAGGGGCTGGAGCGCTCGCACAGTGAGTAGGGCGTTTGCCTTGCACGTGGCCAAGCCGGGTTCGATTCCCAGCATCCCATATGGTCCCCTGAGATACCACCAGGATTAATTCCTGAGTGCAGAGCCAGGAGTAACCCCTGTGCATCGCCAGGTGTGACCCAAAAAGCCAGAAAAAGAAACCTTAAGTGTGATGGGGTATGAACTGTTCCCGCCGATGGTCACATTCCCCCACTCCACTGGGCACTCTAGGTTACATCAGAGCACATGTCCCGGCACTGTTACATAATTTTGAAAGGTCCTGAGTGATCTCTGATCTGGGTTGAGCATGGTTCATGAATCTAGTTTCTTGACTTCAGCTCTCTTAATAGCTCTGAAATTTCTGAAGTCGAAAAGTGCTTCTTCAGTTTACGCTGACACTTGTTCTATGAAGAGTAGCAAATTCAGCCCTTGGACTTCCGGGCTGGTGAGTGCCGTGCGGTTTCAAGGTAGGTGGGCTCTTTGCCCACCTAACCTTCACACCGAAATTTATCCTTCAAGACGTGTCGAAATTCTTATTTGTCGATCTCAGTGGGGATTTTCTCCACCTTTTAACATGCGATCGGGAGAATGTGATGCTTCAGCATTTCGTGACTATATCATTGTGGCTTACACGTTAAGCACCAGTCTCGTGTCTGCACGTGCTAAACTTGGTTCTTTTCTCCAAAGGGGACCGTGGAACACTGCGTTATAGGCGTGATCATCCTTTCAGAACTGACTCAGGAAATGAATCTGGTGAGTCCTTCCACCTCACAGGACCTGCTGCTCCATAAATCATGCCGTTCCCTTGATAGAAAATCTTTGTGAGACCCGAAACTCTGAAGATGCAAGTCTTTTATTTATTTATTTTGTCTGTTGGTGTAAGTATTGGGACGCTTGCGCTTTTATCGAAAATAACATTCTGATAGACTACACAAAACAAGGAATTGTTGATGACCCTGGCTTCTTAGCAAAGGGAGCATTGCCTTTAATTCTCTGTCTGTGTAGTAATATATTGTAGCACTGTAGCACTGTCCTTTCTTTGGTCATCAATTTGCTAGAGCGGCACCAGTAATGTCTCCATTGTGAGACTTGTTGTTACTGTTTTTGGCATATCGAATATGTCATGGGGAGCTTGCCAGGCTTTTCCGTGCAGGTTAGATACTCTGGGTAGCTTGCTGGGCTCTCTGAGAGGGTGGAGGAATTGAACCTGGGTCAGCCATGTCGGCCGCGTGCAAAGCAAACGCCTTACCCACTGTGCTATATACTAAGCCTAAGAAATAAATTATATGCAAAAAACAAAAGAGCCTAGCACTTCTGTAACTTGGTTCTCCTGGCGGACACAGTCCCACAGGACACCACAGCACAGGGCCCTGGGCGCTTGGCACCCGCTGGCATGGGGTTCCCCTGCTAGGGCCATGCCTCTGCCCCAGTGCTGACACGGACCCATATCTCCTACTCTTGCTCTCTTCTGAGCTTAACCACGGGTCAGCACAGCACAAGTGCAGAGCTGGGCTTTTGGTGGAATGACTTGATAACACAGCAGCCCTCCGGGACCCCACTTCTACAGTCAGACCTCAGGTATTTTTCAGGATAAAATGCCTCATCAACTATACTACGTACACATTTCTTGACCACCTAACTGGTGCAGACCTCGGCCGTGTCTTCCGCTAGATGCCTCTCTGAAAGCATCTGAACTTTTCATTCTGGATTACTCCTTCCCCGCTGAGCTCCACGGTGTGGTTGCCTCATAAGGTGCAGCACATCACAGAGGGCGGAGCTGTCCCCAGCCCTGATTAGGTGGTACCTATGTCCAGGTACACGGCAGCACCTAACGTGCACACCCAGGGCTACTTGCTGGCCAGAGGGCCACTCTGCAGCGGCATTTTATAGTTTCTTTGCATAAAAATAGCATCGAAACCATGATTTTCATTTTGTGTTTAATTGGGATGTAGAAAATATTTCTACCTGTACTGGACGGATTCCTAAAATTTAAGGTGACTTTTAATCGACTGACCCTGAGTTCCCTGGCGCCTCTGCCCCTGAGTATGCATTGCTTCTGTTTGTAGTTTTGCTGCTGCTCATTGATAAATGGAAATATTGTGGTATTCATAGCACTAAGTTCCTAATATGTGCCATAATGTATTCTAGAAGCTTAAGAACTATCTTAGTAAATTATTCTTTGCTGCTGCTCATTGATAAATGGAAATATTGTGGTATTCGTAGCACTAAAATCCTAATATATGCCATAATCTATTCTAGAAGCTTAAGAACTATCTTAGTAAATTATTCTTTACAATTATTTATCATTAGTAAAATACTGAGAGCAGACTGTAGCTTTTACAGAAAAGCAGACTTCTGATTATTACTTATCGCTTGGCTTTTTTTAGGATAGCAAGTGTGTATTAACCCCTGGCATATTTGATATATACCTAAAAATCACTTTCATTTGAAAGAATTTTCCTGTTACTGGTTCAATTTGCTGATTCACAGAAAGTTAGACGCTAAAATTTATCTTAAGAGATATCTCATTTTACACATGGAGTTCTGGGACAGGGAATTGTTGCTTTCCTGGTGTGTGGTTCAGGAGTTAAAAATGTGTTTCTGTTGCCTCCGGAAGTACATCAGTTCTGATTTATAATTTGGGATCAATATGGTCTATAGAAAGAGCTCTGAATGGAAACATTCCTGAAACTCTTTTTAACTGTGACTCTGCCATGAACTCTTCAAGTAACCTTAAATAAGTCGATTCTCCCACTAGGATTTTTTTTTTAATTGTTCAATTTTTGTTTGTTTTGTGGCCACATCCGGCAGTGCTCAGGGCTTACTCCTGGTCTTGTGCTCAGGAATCTCTCCTGGCGGGCTCTGGGCACCAAAAGGGATGCCAGGGATCAAATCCAAGTTGCCGTGAGCCAGGCAAACACCCTACCTGCTGTACTATCGCGCTGGCCCCATCCTGGTAGATTTTTTTTTTTAAAAACTTTATTTTTGCTCTATATTTATTTATTTATTTTTCTTTTTGGGTCACACCCAGCGATGCACAGGGGTTATTCCTGGCTCTGCACTCAGGAGTTACTCCTGGCGGTGCTCAGGGGACCATATGGGATGCTGGGAATCAAACCCGGGTTGGCCGCGTGCAAGGTAAACGCCCTACCCGCTGTGCTATCGCTCCAGCCCCAATGCTCTATACTTTATGATCCTTAAATTATTTCCATTTCTTTTCTTACTCAGGAAATTTGGTTCTGGTTAGATGAATTTATTCTTTTGTAGGTTGACTACTCAAGACCTTCAGCAAAACACAGGAAAGTAGCTGCCTCATTTCGTGACTCTTCTCTCAGAGACATTTTCGTGCTCACATGCTCTCTCCTCAAAGAGGTAACTTAGTTCAGAAATGGCACAGTTCTCCTCTTCACGCCCTTTTTATTGTAACTGAGCATGGTAGGTTTGCGCAGTTACCTTAGAAGTCCAGAAACTCAGCTTTCTGGTGCCTGCGAGGTGAGTGGGAATGAGCCCTTGTCTCTGAGGCCCTGGGTCACCGTCTCCGCCTGCCCGGATGCACTCCAGAAGCTGACCGACACTCCTGTGTCTGCCTGGCCCCTGTTGGCTGGCTTGCCGGTGAACGGCGAGGCGACGGCGAACCTCCTTTGTGTCTCTGCCCTCCATGTTATCCTTCCTAGTGGCGCCTGGACACTTGACTCTCTCAGTCCCTAGGGAGCAGGGGCCCCTGGAGCCCCGTGAGTGACAGAGGTGGCAGCGTTTCTGCCTCACTGCACGGTTTCTCTGCTGCCAGAACGTTCCCTTTCTCTGGGTGTGTCCCTCGGGGCTCTGGGCCCCCGGGGTTTCTGTTCAGGGGAAGAGGAGTGTGAGGACTCCCATTCCACGTGAGTCTGGGACGCCCTCTCTCAGTTCACATTTTTTTCTTTGAGGATGGAAAATACAGGAGAATAGGGGCAAGAAAGTGTCCTGCCAAGGGGAAAGAGGGGTGCTGGCACCTGCGTGCTACCTGCAGGGTGGGGGGACATTTTGGCCCTAATACACACACACAGACACAGACACAGACAAACACACAGACACATACACACACAGACACACAGACACACACATAGACACATATACACACACACACATACACAGACACAGACACACAGACACATACACACACAAGACACACAGACACATACACACACACACAGTTACGCTCTTGGGGATCAGGGCATCACTGACAGCTTATAACAGATCCTCATTCTCCAGCTCCTGCCCAAGTTTTTCACAGCGTGTCACTGAGAGTTTTCTGGTTGGCCCGAAGGGACCTTTCGGGGTGGTATGTATGTTTAGGATTGTCCTTCAGAAGCCGGGGCGTCCTTGGTGGTCCACAGAGCTCTGAACCCCAAGACAGTTGTGTGCACGTCTTTCTATATGGCATGACCCCGCTGGTAAGATTTCTGCCTTCTCAGCTTAGCCAACGTCACTTGGTCCCAAAGAGACTCATACCTTGAAGTGTCTGTGTTGTATGTCCTAAGTTACAGCTTTAGAACAGAGGTGCCCAAACCTATCTGGCCTGCTTCCCCTTTCTCAGGAAAAAAAATCCCGCAGTACCCCACCGGAAATCTCCTTTCTTTAAAAGAACAAAACAGAAAACGCCCCAGTTGTAGCCAGGCTATTGCTGCCCTCCCCTGAACCTTTCCCGTGCCCCCAGGGCTGGGGAGGTGTCACCCTCTTTGGCAAATGCTGCTCTAGAAGGCGACCTGTGATTTGCAGCTAAGGGTAAAGAAACCATTTTACAAAAAGAATTTGAAAATAATCTATTTTTATATGCTTTTGCCGACGGTGATTTTACAGTTTCAAAATCTAGACCGCATGATATATAACGTTGCAACCTCGTTTTTAGGTTTATTATCTTTCTGCTAGTACTAGTCACGTGGGTAACTGCCATGCTCAGAGACCACCAGCCCATCCCCCATGGTGATGAAGGGGCCACGTGGCTCTGGGGATGGAACCCAGGGCCTGGCACCCCAGGCGCTCACTGGAGCCATACCCCCAGCACTGGGCTGACGTGGAGAAATGTCTCGATTAGTGAAGTGAGAGTTTGTTGACTGACTTACCGCACAATGCTCCATCCGGCTTTGGATATCTTTCAGGTGCTGGCTAAACCTTTGAATCTGCAGGACGAAGGTCAGCAAAATCTAGTCATGCAGGTCCTGAAGCTGGTCCTCCACTGCCTGAGTTTTGACTTCATAGGCAGTTCAGCAGACGAATCTGCTGATGAGCTTTGCACGGTGCAGATCCCGACAACCTGGAAAACAAGTAAGAAACGCTTTGCAGAGAGCAGGGGCATGCATCCTCCTGCAGGGTGGAGCGGGGGCCTTTGCTTCTGTGTCACCTCGCGTTCTTGCTGGGCTGTCGGAAGTCCCAAGGGTTTGCACAGGGTTTTCTGGGACAGGAAAGACGAGGAGAGAACAGGTCTGAGAGGGAAAGGAAGGGTTGTGTTCTGAGACCTCGAAGGACAAGAGTGAGAGAAGCTACAACTCCGGCAGGAAGTCTGAGCATCTTCTCACGGCTCTCCAGAGAATGACCGAGCGGAGTAGAACAACTTCCTCTTGCAGAGAGGGATGCTGAGGGGTGTGAACCCTTCCCGGAAGAGGGCGGCTGGCAGGTTTGGTGAAGCATCTGCGTCCTCTACAGATGCTCAGGACTATCAGCTGTCTTTGCCGGACCCGCCCTACCCTCGAGACCGGGGGACTCAAGCCGGAGAGGTTTCACAGTCCAGGGTACCACATGCAGCACTAGAGGAAAACAGATTTTGCAGAAATGTAGCGTATAGGAACCGGAGCAAGGAGCACACTGACAAGGGGCTTAGGGGACAAGGGGACTGTGGGAACTGGACTGTGTAATGGTTATCACAGGCACCAATCCACGTAATAGAACCTGACCAGATTAAACATAATACCTGTGTGTGCATGCATGTATGAGCCTACACGCATACACACACATGCACACATGTTTGTGCCTATTGGGAAATCTGAGTGAAAGGTTGGTGGGCTGTTTCAGCATGGTTTGCCAACTGTGAGGGGGCGCTGGGGTGGGGCCCAAAGTCAGGGCTTTCCTGCATGAGGCCTGTGGTGCCTCCTGAGCCCGACCCAGCGTGGGTGCTGGAGTTTGGTAGGGGCTTGGTGCAAGGAAACTGGGCTCGGGGTTCGTGGGGTTTCTCTGGCCTTCCTGGTCACTGCAGGTGAATAAAATGCCCTCCAGTTTCAGGGAAAGGGAAAGCTAGTAGACTCAGAAAGAAAGGGAGGGACTGGAGAGATAACACAGCAGGTAGGGCGTTTGCCTTGTACGTGGCCAACCCAGGTTCGATTCCCAGCATCCCATATGGTCCCCTGAGCACCGCCAGGAGTAATTCCTGAGTGCAGAGCCAGGAGTAACGCCAGTGCATCACCAGGTGTGACCCAAAAAGCAAAAAAAAAAAAAAAAAAAAAGCCAGAACTACAAATTCTAAAAAAAGTGTGATTAATATCCCAGAGAGATTTTTTAAAAAGGCGATGCATATTTAAGGCAAGAATAGGGTATTGTTTTTAAAAAAGGAAAAGGCTGGAGTGATAGGACAGCAGGGAGGACACTTGCTGTGCATGTGACTGGCCCAGTGTTCTGTCCTCAGCATCCCACACTATTCCCTGAGCCCTATCAGGAGTAATTCCCGAGTGCAGAGCCAGGAGTAACCCCTGAACATTGCCGAGTGTGGTCCCAAAACAAAATAAGTAAATTAAAAAGGAAGTTTGAAGACCGTCCCTGATACAAAAGCTAACGTTTGCCAAAGTAAAGCCACTCAGTAGAGAGCTGGAAGATAAAGCTAGGGAAATATCCCAGAACATAGAAGAGAAAAGCAAGGCAAGGTTTGGCAGGTGGAAAGTGCAAGGATATTGAAGAAAGGAACAGGGTATCAGACGCGTGTCTGCCCGGGGCGGGGAGCAGCAGGGACCAGGGAGATGCAGGCAAGTAACACCAGTGAGGCAGCGTCCCCGCATGAAGTAATTCTCCTGGTGGTGTGCCCCGTGCCCAGCAGAAGGAGTGAAAAGATGCTTACTGAGCTCCCCAGCTCTGACCGTCCCCTAAGGACGAGGATGGAAAGAAGATGTTAGAATCTGCCAGAAAGAAAAACAAGACACTTCCTCGGGACTGGTACCCGGAGTGAGGCTCGTTTCTCCACGGCTGCATGAGCAGCGGGAAGGTGATGGAGTGACAGCTCAGGGGTCTGCTGGGGAGAGGGAGATTGGGGTCACTCCCAGCCCGTGCTCAGGGGCCACTCCTGGTGTGCATGTGGGGTGCTCAGGGTTTGCTCCCTGCAGTGCGGTGCTTAAGGACCCGTGCCTGCGGGGGTATTTCCAACCCTCTGAGCCATCTCTCTGGCCCCCTTGCCCCAGAGGGGGTTTGTTTGCCCAACTGAGACAGGAGAAAGACATTTGCATGAGGACCGGCAAATCCTCCTGAAGTGTTGCCCCCGTGGACTTGGTATGTACGAAAGGGGGGTGTACATGGTCTACTTGCAAATCTGGCAAGTAGATCGAGGGATCCGGAAGAGCAAGTTTCAATACAAGAAAGGCACACCGTGGCATTCAAACCTAGAGACAGACAGACGGGTTGAAGGCTCCCGGAGGGAGGGGTGGGAGAAGGAACGCGGGTTATTTGCCACTGCTGACCGCTGGAGAAGGGCAAGAGGAGCGACCCGCGGGACCGCCAGGGCACGGGAAAGAGTCTGCAATGGAGAGAAGCACAGCACCACGCGGGCGTCGGAACTGCCAGGCGCCTGGCTGTCTGGCCGGGGTGAAGGGAAGTACTTCGACTTCATCCCAGTGTGCTAGAGCGGTGGGTGGAATTTAAAAGGATGGGACTGTGCAGAAGGGTGGGGTTGGGGTGAGTGAGTGCCGAGCTGAAAGCCTCTGAAAGCATCCGCCAGTGAAACAGTCCAATGTGGAAAGCAGACCCGGGGTGTTTGGAAGTAGGTTTGAAGCTAAGCCCAGAGCTGAACGGGGTCGGTCCACACGCTCCGCTCCGTTCGCCTGCTTGCTTTGGGATGCTCTTGGAGCCTTTTAAACATACGACTTCAGTAGGAATGGGAGTCGGGACGAGAGTCTCCTAGGGAGACCTAGACGAGTAAGGGACATCCGAGTTAGCTAAGTTCTAGCATGATTTCATCTTTCGAGGGGAATCGGCTAGGAATCTGAAAGGAGTTTAGTCCTCCCGGGCAGGTGCGGGAAGGCAGCCGCGGACGTCTTGGTGTGGCACAGCCTGGCTGTGTGAAGATTGTGGAAATGAAAGTAATGGTATTAGAAAATGATTTTTTCCCCCAGTTTTCCTGGAGCCCGAAACATTGGACCTTTTCTTCAATTTGTATCATTCACTACCTCCACTACTATCTCAATTAGTAAGTAAAAAAAAAAAAAGAAATTGTTATTCTTTTATTGGAAGCCAGCGGGGATCTGAATCTGAGGGCAGACTCTGTATTTCCTTAAAAAGCCCAGTGGATGGACGCTCGGGTCCCCCTTTCCCAAGACGCGCGTTCTCCTTCTTTCCTCTGGCCCGGGCTCTTGGCCAGCTGTCCCTGCCCGCGGCGTGCGCTGTTCCGCAGGGCATCTCCCCTCGACCCGGCTCCCTACCTGCTGCCCGGGGGTTCTCGGGTCTGACTGCTCTCGCTCGCTCTCACCCCCTGTGTGGGCTCTCTGTGTCAGCTTTGCCGGGCTGTGCGGTCAGGTGTCTGGGGGTGGAGGACAGGAATCCGGCTCGGCCGATCCAGGCTTGTTACCCCAGTTACCCACAAGGTCTTTCCTGGCCTGCATTCTGCTGGGTGCATCATACATTAAAAACAAAAAAAAAACAAAAAAAACAAACAAAAAACCCTGTGAGGCTCTGTAGAACTTAAACACGGTTGAGCCTCTCTTTGCAGAATCCAGAACAGACCAGGCAAGATCAAAAGAAGGGAAGGGGGTGGGGGGGGGGTTGCAAATAGTTGTCTGTTTAATATATAAGCTTACAGAAGTAAAGTTGGGGGATTCTAACGTTGCCGTTTTTCTGGAGGTGGCGGGGATGGAGGGGAGATGCTGGGATTTAAAGTACGGATCGGAGGTGTGTTGGTTTAAACACACTAACGGCTGTTAAAGGGAGGAATGAGCCATGGGAATTGCTTCCCTGAGGTTTGAATCTCAGGCTTAAAGGTGGCTCTGATGAAATGGGCTCACGGCGGCATCACGGGGCACCAGCCTGCCAGTCTTGCACCCAGTCTTCACTTCCGCTGCTTCCGTTTCCCATGCAGTTACGGTCTGGGGTGTGAAGGAGAAGAGCTCCTGGACCCTGGGGAGCCAAGGGGAACGCACAGGCCTTAGGGCAGAGTCAGTGGCGGGTGCTGGGCCTGCCCTGTGCAAGGTGCGCACCCCCTCGCCTCGTCCTCAAAGAGGTCTGCAAAGCAGTACCCCGATGCCTACACTGTGGGCCAGAGCGCGCCCAGGGCCGGGGGGAGGCCTCTCAGTTTGGAGAGCCAGCACCCCGCATCGCTGACCTGCACACCCTATAGCATCAGAACTCCGGTGCATCCACACCCTCGCTGCAGAACTGCATGAGATGGGTTTTGCTTGTGGGTTGCGCTTCTTGGTTGGTTTGGGGGCTGTACCCAGCTGTGCTCAGGGCTCACGCCTGTGTGTGCTCAGGGGACCCTATTCAAAGCAGGGGTGGAACCCGGGTGGGCTGTGTGCGAGGCAAGCTCCTCACCCACTGTCCTATCCCTTTGGCCCGGTTTTGGTTTTCGGCAGTAAGAACGCTGGCACACTGGAGAATATCTTAAAGGGCATCTTCTGATTTGGGGTCCTGTTCTCACCCTTGCCAAGAGAGCTGACATCTTCATAGTGAAATACTGTAAATGTTGGCAGTTCAGTCTAAAAGTGTCTTTCCTCCGTGCTTTCTAAAGGGCAAATAAAACATGTGCCCCCACCCCCCCAACAAAACTTCTGTGGGCCAGTTTGATGGGAAAGTTGCCAGCTCAGGGCTTCTGCCTCCATGAGCAAACAGACTTCGGCAGGACCGTTGAGTTCAGTAGTGGAATTTTGAGCCAAAGTCGTGAAATGGTCCGGTAAGATATTTCAAACACTAGCAGGAGAACCAGGCCGCAAAGAAGCCCGGGGACTTTTTTTTGCACGGAGTGGATACGGTACCCAGGCTTGCCTTGGCATACTTAATAAACGGACAGATATCCGAGAAGGCACACCAGTGGAATTTCAGTGATGGAGTCGAAGGGCTGTGGAGAGTGGTGATGGTTTAGGATGTTTCGCTTTAATTATTCTTGGATGCTAGAATGCTTTCTTTAAAAACAAAACTTTAAACTTTAAAATAAATTGTGAAGGTAAAGAATAATTGTTCCTTATGTGTGGCCACTGTCACTTTTAACACTGAGATGAATTTTGTTGTTCCTGCTTTCAGGCGCTCTCATGTCTAGTTCAGTTTGCTTCCACGAGAAGGTCCTTATTTAGCAGTCTCGAACGTGCCAAGTACCTTGGGAATTTAATTAAGGGAGTAAAAAGGATTCTTGAAAACCCTCAGGTATTTATGAAGCAATCTCATTACTAATTAGCATATAGAAATACAGTTTGTTTGCCTAGAGTTGTTTTATATCTTGTGTTTTTTATTTTTAACCATTGTTCTGCCTTTTTTTTTTTGCTTGTTTTTCCTGAATTTCTGAAGTGATTTGGTTGTAAGCTGCATGCTGAACTACGAGACAGATTTGAACGTGGCTGAATTATGAGATAATGTGATTTTGCCCTCTTGTGGACATATAAGAGTTTGTTCGTTTTAAAATAAACTCCGAATTAACTGCAAAGCTTCGATGGCAGTGTTTATGTTTGTGAGCTGCAAGGACATTAATAGTGATTTCCGGTGCTGGGATGAATTTTTGGTTTTATTCTTATCTTGGGCTGGAGCGATAGCACAGCGGTAGGGCGTTTGCCTTGCACGCAGCCAACATGGCCGACCCGAGTTCGATTCCTCCGCCCCTCTCGGAGAGCCCGGCAAGCTACCGAGAGTATTCGATATGCCAGACACAGTAACAACAAAGTCTCCAATGGAGACATTACTGGGCCCGCTCGAGCAAATCGACGATCAACGGGAGGGCCTTTACCTTTACCTTTACCTTTATTTTTATCTTGATTTAAAATACATATCATGAAAGTATCGATTTTGGGAAGGTGAATGAACTAATGATTAAAGGTTTACTGAAAACTCTAGTTATTAATAACTTTTATGTTGGGAGGGGGGTCGTAGGTCTGTAAGTAAAGAGAATTTTCCTGAAGGTCATTCTAGAAGAGTTTATATGTTTTTGTTTCAAATTTTTTCATTGTTAGCATAACTGAACGGAGGGTTTTCTGTTAAATGGGGTTTTACCAACATATTTTAAAAGTTTTTGTTGTTTTTTTGATAGACAAGATGGTAACATCATACCGCCAGTAGACTATATGGTAATGTCAGATTGTTCCTCAAATTAATTTCCTCACATTCTCATGTTGCAGTTTCCTAATTATATAAAAGTTAGTCTGAATTTTGTATTATTTTGAGACATATTATTGAAAACTCTATAGATACTAAGTATTTTTTTGTAATTTGTCCTGAATACTTGGATGCTATTTTTCATTCTTTCGTGGAACTTTCATGGAAAGTCTTAGCACAGTGGGTAGGGCGTTTGCCTTGCACGCGGCCAACCCGGGTTCGATTCCCAGCATCCCATATGGTTCCCTGAGCACCGCCAGGAGTAACTCTTTAGTGGAGAGCCAGGAGTAACCTCTCTACATCACTGGGTGTGACCCAAAAGAGCAAAAAAAAAAAAAAAAAAAGAAAAGAAAAGAAAAAAGAAAGTCTTTCGGATGACGCCTAGTTTTGGAATTCCGTTCCATGCCCCTCTAGTGCAGACTGCTCGAACACTGGATGTCCGCCGCAGGCCCTGCCCACAGGGAGCTCGAGCCCCAGGGGGCCTCTGCAGCTGCCCTGCACGAAGGTGGCCGACCCCAGTAACTGCCCTCAGTGACGTGGGCTTATTTGAGACTTGCTGCTGGAGCTGAATTAGGAAAAGCTGCCATTACTTCCAGGAGTAATTCCTGAGTATAGAACCAAGAGACCAAGAGTCACCCCTGAGCATCACTGGGTACGACCCAGAGAGCAAAAAAAAAAAAAAAAAAGAAAAAAAACAAAGTGCCTTTTTCTGAGGCCTTGGGCTTCGGAGCTCAAGTCCTGTTCCTACTGCTCTCTTTAAGGGCTTCCGGAACTTTCCCCTCATCTTCACATTGTCCAAATCCTCTGTTGACGCAAGGCAGACACTTGTGCACAGAGAAATGCACAATGATGTGAGGGGCTGCCCACCTGGTCACCAGTCAGGGCGCCGAGCCTCCCCGGCCTGGCTTGGCTGAAGTTGGTTTATTAGTCATGACGAGCACTGGGAGTGGAGTCCAGCGGCCGTGGTGCATCACTCATCATTGGTGGTTGCCCCGGGGAGCACCATCGGCAGGGGCACATGGGGGCTGGGGGACACTCTGAGTACTGGATCGATCAGATAACAGGTCATTGAACTGATTGGTTTTCTGGCATTTAAAAAAAAAAAGACAAACCAACCTTTCTTTTTTGTCTCATAATTAGGGTTTGTCTGATCCGGGAAATTATCATGAATTTTGTCGACTTTTGGCTCGTTTAAAGACAAACTATCAGCTGGGAGAATTAGTTATGGTGGAGGAGTATCCTGAGGTCATCAGGTTGATCGCTAACTTTACCATCACTAGCCTGCAGGTAAATAAAAAAATAATGTATTCAATGCTAAACAATGTAAAAACTATATCTTGATAGGATTTGCTGGGAATTTTTTTTAAAAAACAAGCACGTGTGTGTGTGTGTGTGTGTGTGTGTGTGGTGTGGTGCTGTGCCGGGAATTCAGCTCAGGGCCTCAAGCATGTGACCTGCATTCTGCTACTGAGTCACATCACCTAATTTTTTACACGTGTTTAGAACTCTCCATTTAAAATGTTCATTGCAAGATTTTACATAAGTTTTGTTTTATCACACTTAACGTGCGTGGGTGTGGGGTGTGGGGGGAGGCAGGCCCTGTACTGCTCGAGTGCTTCTCCTGGGAATGTGCTCAGGAGTTGCTTGCATCGGGGTTTGGGGTCCCATGCAGTGCCGCAGGGCGCGTGCTGCAACCCTTGGGACCTCGCCCGGACCCTTCACTGCATTTTCTCACTGAAAGCTGGATGCCTCCGTCTCCGAGAGTGAACAGACGCACTCAGAGGTTGTAGTAACATCTGAAGAAGGAAGGACTATTTTTGCAGACTGGTTTATGGGAAGATTCTTTCCCTGAGTTTGGGAGGAAAGCCTAAAACCATACTGTCCACAGGATAATCAACTCTGGAAATACAGTCACAGACAGTTCACAGGGAGGTACACAGCTCTGCTAACAGTAGAATAATGAGGTTGTTGATTTCTTCTTTATACTTTTTGGGGTTTACCCCGCCCCCACCCTGCACCAAAAGTCATCTTAAACATTCATTGGTTATATAGTCAGAATCCAAGTTAACTTAGAAATGCAATTTTAAAAATTAATTTGTAAAATTGCAAAATGTAAAAAATTTTTCCCATGTAACTCTTATCCCGGGCAGGAGTGATAGCACAGCGGGTAGGGCGTTTGCCTTACACACAGCCAACATGGCCGACCCGAGTTCGATTCCTCCGCCCCTCTCGGAGAGCCTGGCAAGCTACCGAGAGTATCTCGCCCGCACGGCAGAGCCTGGCAAGCTCCCCGTGACGTATTCGATATGCCAAACACAGTAACAACAAAGTCTCCAATGGAGATGTTACTGGGCCCGCTTGAGCAAATCGATGAACAACGGGAGGACCGTGACCATGAACTCTTATCCTAAGTAGAGCTCATGTTGTTGAAATAACTTCTCTTCCTTTTCTTTCTTTGCAGCACTGGGAATTTGCCCCCAACAGCGTCCATTACTTACTGACCCTTTGGCAAAGGATGGTGGCGTCGGTGCCCTTCATGAAATCCACGGAACCACACTTACTAGACACTTACGCACCAGAAATCACCAAGGCCTTTATCACCTCTCGGTTGGAGTCTGTTGCCATCGTTGTGAGGTATCGGAAGACTTAAGTGCTTCTCTTTGATTCTCGTCTTCTCATTTGGGGAGCTAAAAAAAATCGAGGTACCATTTAGTTACTCTGAAATTCACCCCTTCTTCATGTACAGTTCTGCCCGTTGAATTCTGCCGAGTGGATACTTGGCAAAATTACTATCACAGTCGAGACCTAGAATAGTTCCTTTACCCCGAGAAGTTTTGTGGGTCCCTCTGCCAGCTCTTCTCCCTGGCACTTACAGCTACTTAAAAAAAAATCGATTTGCTCGAGCGGGCCCAGTAACGTCTCCATTGGAGACTTTGTTGTTACTGTGTCTGGCATATCGAATACTCTCGGTAGCTTGCCGGGCTCTCCGAGAGGGGCGGAGGAATCGAACTCGGGTCGGCCATGTTGGCCGCTTGTAAGGCGAATGCCCTACCGCTGTGCTATAGCTCCAAAAAAAAAAAAAAATAAGTGGCGCTTTTCCCAGAATGTCAGTGAACAGTCTGGAGCCGTTCGCAGGCTCCCTTCACTGCTCCCCGCCCTTCCCCTCTTCCCTCCTGCCTGCCCAGGAGTTCCCGATTCTGTGCATGGCTGCGTGCAGCTTACTGACCCGCTGGTAGACGTGTGGGTGGTTTGCGTTTGTGTCCCGTGTGAGTAAAGCAACGGCACGTATTCCCGAGCGCAGGTCACAAGGATGTGGCTTTTATTTCTCCTGGGCAGTAAATGCCGAAGTGTGGGGCTTCTGGGTCACACGAGAAGCTGCTGCCCTCCATGGGGGTGGCCAGGTCACCTCCCAGTGTGACCGTCACTTGGCCTGCAGTGGGGCCCCTTGCCCTGCGTCCTCCTCAGCACTTGCTGGTGCCAGTTGGAGACACCTTCGTCGCCCACTGTGGCTTTGTTCTGCATTGTCCAGGAGACTACTGACGCCGCGTGTCTCTGCACGCCCCGATGAACTGTCCCTCTGGGATCCTTAGCAGAGTGCCTGTCCCATCTGCCACCCCGCACTTCATAGCTTGCCTTCCCAGTACCGAGGGCTTTGAATCAGAGCGGCCGGGGTGATGCTTCGATGAAGCCCAGTTTACCCGTTATCTTTTTTTTCTTGTCGTTTTTTTTCCCTTAAATTTTTATTAGTGAAACACCATGAGGTACAGTTGTAGACTTACAAATTTTTGTGCTTGGGTTTCAGTTATACAATGATCGAATACCCATCCCTCCACCAGTGCCCATTCTCCACCACCACCAGTCCCAGTATCCCTCCCACCCCCCTTCCCTCCATCCCACCCTACCTCTGTGGCAGGACGTTCCCTTTTGTTATCTCTCTCCTTTTGAGTGCTGTGGTTTGCAAAAGAGACATTGAGTGGCAGTCTTGTTCGGTCTATAGTCTACTCTCATCACGTGTTTCCCATCCTGAGAGGAACCTCCCAACACCCTTTATTTGGTGCTCCCTTCTCTATCTGAGCTGCCTTTTTCCCTAGTGTGTGCGGCTGTCCTCAAAGCCATGGAGTAATCCTCCTGGTACTTATCTCGGCTATTCTTGGGTGTTAGTCTCCTATTTTGTTACTTTATGTTCCCCAGATGAATGCAATCTTTCTATGTCTATCCCTCTCTTTCTGACTCATTTCACTTAGCACGATACTTTCCATGTAGTACCACTTGTATGTAAATTTCATGACTTCATCTTTTCTGACAGCTACATAGTATTCCATTGTGTAGATGTACCAAAGCTTCTTTAACCAGTCATCTGTTCTTGGGCACTCAGGTTTTTTCCAGATTCTAGCTATTGTAAACAGTGCTGCAATGAACAGACAACTGCAGATGTCGCTTTGACTATACTTTTTTGTCTCTCCGGGGTTTATTACCCGTTATCTTTTTTCCTCTCTGGGTTTCCTGGTTCTGGAGACTCCCAGGGTGGTGAGGCCAGGCTCTGTGGGCAGGCCATTTGGACAGGGTCTGAGTTAACAAGGTAGACTTCCCCCCCCCCCGAAACACACATAATCATTTTCCCCCCAAACCATTTGTCCCAACTCTCCTCCACGGAATGGCCTTTCTTCTGTTTCTAAAATTAATCGGCCCGCAGACACAAGGTTCCTTTTCCGAACTTCATTCTCAGTCTGCGTTTCTCTGTCAGTGCCTTGTCCTGCTCCGGCGTCTTACGATCCGCACCGCAGGGAGCACTGCCAGTCGCCACCCTGGGCTTCCTCTCAAGGGTCACCGGGCTCTTACCCTTCCCCGTCACTGTGGAATCAGCATGTCATCCTCACGTTCCAGGAGGCAGCAGCCACAACAGCGCGCTTGTTTGGACTTGGACGGGGATTGTGCTGGCGGTGCGGATTGTCCAGGAGCGCTGTGATCCGTCTGTTTTTCCTTCACGCATCCAGGGTCTTTCCCCACAGCCTTCCAGAACATTCACACCGTCCACCTTGCCCATGCTCAGCGGCCCCTCACTGTCTCACGGTTTTTCCTGTGCCTTTTGAGATGGGGCGTTTGTGCCTCATTGTCACCCACAGCCGTGTGCGTTGGCCTTTGCTGGGGCCCGTTAGCGGGGCGCAGGGCATTCTCCGGCGTTGCTGACGTCTGGAATCACGCTGTTGGCAGGCGTGCGTGTTTCATTTCTCACCTTCCCGTCTCTCTCTCATTTCTCTCTTCATCACGGAAGTTTTCTCCAAGGTAGGGGGCGTCAGCGTTACCCAGCAGGTGCAGGGACCCTGACTGGGGCTCTCGGCCAACCCGGCTGTTCTACCGATATCGGAGTCTGAGAACTCCGATGGTGAGGGGCCTCGGGGCTACACCCGGCCGTGCTGGGAAGGGAGTGGAGGGGAGGGCATGTGGTGCCAGGGATGAACCAGGTTCAGGCACCTACAAGGCCTGTCCCCTGGCCCACCCCAGACCATCTCCCCGACCCTCCTGCTGGGAATTGTCTTGACCCTGGAACTCGGGTGCCCACGTGCTGAGCCCGACCCCGCCCAACGTTGCCTGTTCTTCTCCATGTGCAGAGACCACCTGGATGACCCCCTGGATGACACGGCCACCGTGTTCCAGCAGCTGGAGCAGCTGTGCACCGTCAGCCGGTGTGAGTACGAGAAGACTTGCGCCCTACTGGTGCGGCTCTTCGACCAGAATGCACAGAACTACCAGGAGCTGCTGGGCGCCCCATCACAGAGCCAGGCCGGCCTGGCCGTGCAGGAAGGTGGGTGCCTGCTCCCTGCCTCTCCCGGGAGGCGCGGGGCTCGGGGCAGCGTCCCGACCCCGGCCGGACCCTCTCTCTGCAAATTAGTTTTGTTCCATCCCCCAGTCCCCGGTCCCCCAACCTGCCGTTGATCGTGTGAACCCTCCGCGTGTTCTGCAGGTTGGAGGCTTCATTGTTCAGTTCTTGGGGTCCGCAGGAAACGGTTCCCCCTAGAACCCCACCAGGAGGAGCCGGTCTCTGGGTGGGAAGCTCGTCAGCGTGACTCTGCTCTGTTCCCCTCTGCGCTGGCTCCAACCAGAGCCCGTGAGCGGCGACTCTGGGCCCTGCCTCCCCGCGGACGGCGCCCTCGCCAACATTTCCTTTTGCTGTTCTTTCTGTTTCGCTTCCTCACTTTCCTAGGTATTTTGCTCTGAGCCTTTAGTGAAAGATTTGTTTCTGTACGTTCCTGTAGATCCCTTCAGGAACACAGGCGTGAAAATGAATATTTCTCGGATATCCAGAATGAGATCACTTAAGACAGCGGCACTGGCCTCCTGCACTGGTCATAGCTGCAGATGGGTCACTTTTCCACCTTGAGTCACAGCCCAAAATGTTTCGCTTTTCATCCTTCTCTGGCATTGCCGCCGGCCACAGAAAAAAAAAGAAATACTCCTGGCAGTGCTCGGGATACCATATGGGATGCTGGCAATTGAACCTGGGTCGCCCACATGCAAAGCAAACGCCCTACCCGTTGTGCTATCGCTCCAGCCCCCAACAAAAAATTTCTTTGGCAGCTTTAAATGGAGCTGGAGAGGAAGAGTGGGGGCTAAAGCGCTTGCCTGGTATGTGGCCAACTCTGGTTTGACCCCTGGAAGCATGTGGTCTCATGGGCGCTTCTGGGAGTGACCCTGAGCACAGCCTCAAACCCCAAAAATAAATGAATTTTTTTAATGTTTTGCTTATCTATTTTATATTTAAGTGCATACTACAGCGGATGATCTGGGTAGTGTAGTGGTTAACCTTTATCATCTTAAGGGTTTTCTTAGATTAGAATCTCATTATTTGTAAATTAAGAGGGAGAACTAATGTGTTTGTCGCATTTGGTTCTTTCATGATTGGTTTCTTTAGAGTTTTGAAACAAACATTACATACACAGAGCAGGAAATATATAAATATATAGAGAGAGACAGTGACTAGCCATGACACGCCCCGTCACAGAGCTCCAAGGACAGGACAATAATAATAATAATAATAATAATAATATCTTTGCTGGTTTCACCTTTCCTCTGTCCAAATCTAGTCTTATTCTTTGCATTTATCATTGGGTGCTTTTGGTTCAGTTTTACCTTCTGAAAAGAATGCCTGATTTTGTATACTTCTGAACTTAGTGCAAATATGCTTGCCCAACTGCAGTTGACTGTTGGCAACTGTTCTCGGGTTGGCATATGTGAGTGTTCGCAATGGTGCCGTTACAGTTCTTTCATTTGCTCTTGGCTGTGTGGTTGTCTGAACATGCCGCGACTTCACTCGAGCAATTTCCTCTCTCTGGGCACGTGTTTTCTCTGGTTTCCCTAACACGGTCAATCATGGTGTAAAAGCGTTGGTATCATCATTGCACAGTCCGTTGTAGGTGATGATGCCAAACTAGTGCCTAACCGGTCAGTTAATTTTCAGCAAGGGAGCCAAGAAAATACAGTGAGGGGAAGGACCATCTCCTCACTCGCTGCCGTGAGAATGCTGGACAGCCCAGAGCCCAGGAGGGAGACTGCACACATCATCTTTTTTTTTTTTTTGCTTTTTGGGTCACACCCAGTGATGCTCAGGGGTTACTCCTGGCGGTGCTCAGGGGACCATATGGATGCTGGGAATTGAACCCTGGTCGGCAGCGTGCAAGGCAAATGCCCTACCCGCTGTGGTATGACTCCCGCCCCTGCACACACTATCTAACACCATGCACAAACAGTTACTCAAAATGGACAGAAAACTCGAACTTACGACAGGAAACCATAAGCCTAAGAGAAAACGTAGGTGCTAAAGGCTCTAACATTGAGCTGGGTGATAATGTTTTTAGATTTGCTGCCCAAAGGAGAGTTAACAAAAGCCAGAGTAAACAAGTGGAACAGCATGAAACCAAAAAAAAGTTTTTCTACAGTAAAGAACCCCCCCCCCCCCCACTCAGGGTGAAAAAGCAACCTTCAGAACAGGAAAACAATATTTGCAAAAACATATCTCTGACAGTTAATTTGAAAAATACACAGAGAACTCATACAACTCAACAACAGAAAAACCCAAAACAAAGAAAAACCAACCAAAATGGACAGAAGTTCTGAATGGCTATTTTTTTTTCCCAAAGAAGACAGATTCCCATAGGTTCATGAGAAGGCACTCAATATCACTTATCATTAGGGAAATACAAGTTAAAACCCTGGTGAAATATCACCTCCGTGTTAGAAAGGGCATTGTCCGAAAGACTTAACGCGGGTCCAGCGAGGGCTCCTTGTTGACCGTTGGTGAAAAGGACCAGTTGGTGCAGCCAATGGAAACCAGGCTCAAGGTCTCTCAGATTTCAAACAGAACTCTCAGGTGATCCTGAAGTCTCAGTTCTGGTCTTCACATGAAGGAAATGAAAACACTCCGAAGATCCACGCACCCCATATTCACAGGCAGTGCTGTTTACAGATCCCAGGCATGACTGCACTCGAGTCTCTGGACGGACAGAGAGACACAGACAGACAGAACCACGGTGTTTATCCACACGGTGGGATATTATTCCTAAAGATGGAAGGAGTCTTGCCATTTGCAACATCATGGATGGACCTTAGGGACATCGAGCTCAGTGAAACGAGGGAGGCAGGGAAAGACAAGACCCATGCCATCCCATTCACAGGGGCATCTGAAAAAACTCTCTGAACTCTGAATTCATAGCGGTAGAGAATGTGTTCAGGTTGGAGCTGGGGGTGGGGGAGGGTGGGGGAGTAGATAAGGGGGTGAAAAAGATGAGAAGTATGTGCAGAGTTAGGAATATGCCATGGGGAGAGGACGCACATGGCACATCAGGACTAGAGTTTGCAGTCCTGTAGCGTGAAATTGAGAGGTTCCACGGAGCAGATCTTACCAATTCTCACCACGAGGAAAGAAATGACAGCGGTGGCAATGGGGTATTAACTGGACTTATCAGAGTCCTCTCACAGTCTCAGTGTCGTGTTTTTATTTTTATTTATTTTATTTGCTTTTTTGTCCCCCCACCCCCAGGCGTTGCATGGGGTTACTCCTGGCTCAAGCGCTCAGGAATTACTCCTGGCGGTGCTTGGGGGACCATATGGGATGCTGGGAATCGAATCCGAGTCGGCTGCATACAAGGCAAATGCCCTACCCGCTGTGCTATCGCTTCAGCCCCTATGTTGTATTTTTATAACCTGACATGTTGCAGTCACGTTAGAAAGAGCCGAAATACTGTTTTTTTTCCTTTCCGGGTCACACCTGGTGATGCACAGGTGTTACTCCTGGCTCTGCACTCAGGAGATACTCCTGGCGGTGCTCGGGGACCATATGGGATGCCGGGAATCGAACCTAGGTTGGCTGCATCCAAGGCAAACGCTTTCTCCACTGTGCTATCACTCCAGCCCCAGAAAGCGCCAATATATTGTCGTTGGGATTGTTTCCCTGAGGTTCAGGTAGTCCCATGATTCTAATATTGTTCCTCTTGGAATCATCTGCTAGGACTCTGATTCTCTGTAGAGCCATTTTGAGGTCCCTTGCCACTGTTTGTTGTTGCGTGTTGGCTTGTTGCAGCTGATCTTCCAGCTCACTGATTTTCTCTTCAGCTGTGGTCATTCTATTTTTAAGAGAAGAAACTGAGTTTCTCATTTCATCTATGGAATCTTTTAATCGTGACATTTCTGCCCTCATTTCTTCTCGTAATTTGTCGATTTTTTCTGTGGTGTTACTGGCTGTCTGTCTGACTATTTCATTGAGTTGATTGAACATCTTCATGACTTCGTATCTGAATTCTGTGTCAGAGAGGTCCCTTAGGTGAGCTGTATTGACAGAATGGTCTAGATTGTTTTCGTTGTTCTCCCCTTGTGTTGGAGATTTTCTTTGTTTCTTCATATTGCTGAGTAGGTTGGGAACTAGATTCCTTGGGGACTAGGTTCCTTAGTATGGGAAAACAACCTGCGGCCGCGTGAGCGTTGACCCGCCGGAAATTAAGCCACGCCCACTTTGAGGCCACGCCCACTTTTGAGGAGGCCACGCCCCTACAGAACCCTGGGTTTGGGATGAGATGGGCGCCTCGGTCAGGAGTGAAGAGGGCAGGGCAGACGCTCAAAACTGCTTCTCTTCAGGCATCTCCACGAGCAACTTATTTGTAGTCCAATTCTCTGGTCCTGCTGCCTTTGGTTATTTCTTATTTTCTTATTCTGTTTCTTTATGTCCTGGATCAGCAGTTTACCAAAGGAGTCTACAGTTTCTTGAGGTTCAGTGACTTTGGCTGATAGGAATATTCACCTGAATGCAGGCAGGATAAGGAAGGCCCCCTTCCAAGGCAATGCACAGGAAAAACAGGAGCGCCAATATATTGTGACATAATCAAGTTTAGCATTCTTTGTCAATTATATCTCAATCAAAAATCGACTAGGTATTAAATGACAACGAGTTTTAATGACCGTGCCAGAGACTGTGCTGCGTCTTACCGGTTTGCGATTAAATTAAAACTCTGTTCTTGGGAATTTAAAAAAACATGTAGTTATAAAGCAAAAGATGATTTCTTTTGTTGTTGTTGTTGCTGGGGGGTATTTGGGCCACACACCTGGCTGTGCTCAGGGCTTACTCTTGGTGGGGTTGGGGGAACCCTCTGTGGTAAGTGGGACTGAACCCAGGTCACCTGTGTGCAAGGCCAGGGTCCTGCCCAACTCTCCAACCAAGAGTGTTGGAGAGTTGGCCGCTCTCCAACCCAAGCAAAAGTAAGTAAAGTAAAGTAAAGGCCCTCCCGTTGATCATCGATTTGCTCGAGCGGGCCCAGT